TAGTTCTAATTAATTTTGTAGTGGATTCTGTGAGATTTTTCTATTTGTAGGATCATGCCATCTTTGAACAGAGGTGGTTTTACTTCTTTCTCTCCAATCTGGATGCCTTTTATTTTTCTTGCAGTTTCTTCTTCCACCTGCCTTTAGTTTGCCATGATTCTTCATCGTGCAGACTCAATGTTATAACTTCTCTTCTTGCTATCTTTTTGTATGCTCTGAATTTTCAAGTTTAAATTCGAGAAAGCGAATAGAGAGATAGAGAAACGGGAGAAAGACATAGAGAATTGAGTAGCTCAAGTGTTAGCTATTATTTTTCTTAGGGTAAAGCTTTGCATTTTAGCTCATAGGTGTCTGGCTAGTAAATGCTGCCTTTGGATTAGATGTGTCGGAAGTAGAAAAGTTCCTTTTTAAAGTTTCCTTTCTTGTTAAAAAAAGAGAAGTGTGCTAGCAGCTCTTTGTCAGCCCTATCCTATGTAGCTGGTAAACATGCCATGCTTACAGGCATGTAGTACACTCTATGTCCTTATACTTTAGCTAAGATGTCTGTGCTGATGTGCTTACAGGCATGTTCCAGCTCTCCATTGCTTTTACCTGTTTAGAAAAGTTTTAAGTTTTTAGCCAGTTGGGTTTTAGTTTAGATTGTGAGGTCTGGCTACAGCCAACGGAGATCAGGCACAGCAGTAAGGACAACCCCAAATGCATAAGGGATAAATTTGTGTGTTTTCCTTTATTCTTTGTACTCTCATGGCAAGATGGCTAGTGAGAGTACCCTTCCTGCAGTCCAGGAAGTAAAAATTGTGTTGCTGAAAGATCCTTTGTCTCAGTGCTAATTTTTCTTTGGGGCACCGAGCATCTATTTCCAACGTCTATTGCCAACAACCATTAATAAGATGAAGCCAGAAAGAAAGAAAGGCCACAGTTTCTGTGTAGCTCAAGAAGGGATTGTATGGGCATGACTGGCCTGGAAATTGACATGAATAGAACAATATTGTTAGAGAAGGCATTTTTTTTTTCAAGAATACATTGGATTTTTTTTTTTAACTCAGAAGTCATCTTTGTAATGTTGGTTAAAATGCATTGGGATGTCTGAAATATTTTTGATTGTCTGTTTGATACAACCACATACATATTTTTGTATCATAAAAAATGAAGGCACCCCACGACCTTCTCATGCTTAGCATTCATCATCTTTAATATATTTGTTTGAAAGAACTCTATTTAAATATTCTAAGGAGATAAATATTTAAGACAACCGGTGGTTCCTTCATCTCTTTACTCTCTCCAAGAAAGGCTTTCTTTGTAGTTGGTTATTTTGGCAAGTGCTTATTGAGTATATGTTTTATATGGAACTGCCGATATTCCCTATGTATTGGGGTAATAAGTGAGAGTGTGTTTGTGGAGGGGAGGGTCCCTGAAAATGAAAGTCATAATTCCTAGGCCGGGCGCGGTGGCTCAAGCCTGTAATCCCAGCACTTTGGGAGGCCGAGGCAGGTGGATCACGAGGTCAAGAGATCGAGACCATCCTGGTCAACATAGTGAAACCCCGTCTCTACTAAAAAAAAAAAATATAAAAAATTAGCTGGGCATGGTGGTGCGTGCCTGTAATCCCAGCTACTCAGGAGGCTGAGGCAGGAGAATTGCCTGAACCCAGGAGGCGGAGGTTGCGGTGAGCCGAGATCGCGCCATTGCACTCCAGCCTGGGTAACATGAGTGAAACTCCATCTCAAAAAAAAAAAAAAAAAAAAAAAAAAAGAAAGTCATAATTCCTGGGAGTTTTAGTTCCTAGTAGAATAAAGAGTTGGGCTGGGCATGGTGGCTCATGCTTGTAATCCCAGCACTTTGGGAGGCTTGAACTCAGGAGTTTGAGACCAGCCTGGGCAACATAGTGAGACCACAGCCAGCTGTGGTGGCACACACCTGTAGTCCTAGCTACTCCGGAGGCTGAAGTGGGAGGGATCGTTTGAGCCTGGGAGGTTGAGGCTGCAGTGAGTGGTGATCGGGCCACTGCACTTTAGCCGAGGCAGCAGAGCAAGACCCTCTCAAAAAAAAAAAAAAAAAAGAAAAGAAAAGAAAAAAGAACAAAGTATCACGGAAGAAGTAGCAAGTAGTCTCATAACTGCAAAGTAACAGAGTAAATTTGAAAATAATGTAATGATGAGATGTAATGAACACTCCCCTACTGACCAGCCATATAGAGATTAAAAAGATATGCTTTCTGCTCTAAAGATTCATACAGTAAGGGCGGGCGCGGTGGTTCACCCCTGTAATTCCAGCACTTTGGGAGGCCGAGGCAGGCGGATCACGAGGTCAGGAGATGGAGACTATCCTGGCCAACATGGTGAAACCACGTCTCTACTAAAAATACAAACATATTAGCTGGGCATGGTGGTATGCGCCTATAGTCCCAGCTACTCCAGAGGCTGAGGCAGGAGAATCCCTTGAACTTGGGAGGCAGAAGTTGCATGAGCCAAGACCGCGCCACTGCGCTTCAGCCTGGTGACAGAGCAAGACTCTGTCTCAAAAGCAAACAAACAAACAAAAGATTCATACCGTAATAGAGTCATAGATCAGCACATAATTAAAGCTCAAAAATGTGACTGCATTGTAGATGCCTTTGGCACAAGAGAATGCATGGTGTGTTGGGGCCCGTTGCTTTTAATGTTGAGAGGGATTAATTGCAGAATAGTACCATCATTAGCCTAATTTCTATTGAGAATCATCTGCCTCTGTAAAACTAAGGTCATATGGCTAAACTTAGTGTAACAGTGTGTTTCGCAATAAATAAATATGTACATGGATAACCTAAAAACTATTTACTGGTCTTGTAGAGGTGAAATGTTGAACTATTAATAGAAACTTTCCACAATAGATCATCTCAACACTTCTGACTAGTTTTAATTCCTCCACTAATTTGTGACATCTTTGGCCATCACTTAGCTTTTCTCTGCCTAACCCTATTATGGCCTAACTTATGTAACTGAAGTAGTAAGAGAAGGAGACACAAAAGTGGAAAGTGAATCCTCTGCGCACTTGGTGCAAAAAATTTATTCTCTGAATAAATGTATTTTCTCATAGACAGGTTTGAAAACCATAGTACTTACAATTTTACTTTACAAAAAGAAAAAAAATCACAGATACATAGTTCATGAGATAAGGGACATAAACCAAACATGCTTTTATTTTTATGGCTAAGACTAAACTACAGTCATTCAGTTGCTGCATAACAGTGTTCAGTCAATGAAGAACCTCATATATGGCGGTGGAATCATAAGATTATAATGGAGCTGAAAAATTCCTGTCGCCTAATATTTACTATACTATGCTTTTTATCGTTAGAGTGCATTCTTTCTACTTAGTAAAAAAAGTTAATTGTAAAACAGCCTCAGGCAGGTCCTTCAGGAGGTATTACAGAAGGCGTTGTTACCATAGGAGACAGCTCCTTATGTGTTACTGCCTCCAAAAACCTTTCAATGGGACAAGATGTGAAAGCGGAAGACAGGGATATTGATGATCATGTCTCTATGTAGGTCTAGGCTAATGCCTGTGTTTGTTTCTTATTTTTTATTTATTATTATTTTTTTTTTGGAGACGGAGTTTCGCTCTTGTTGTCCAAGCTGGAGTGCAATGACACAATCTCTGCTCACTGCAACCTTCATCTCCTGGATTCAAATGATTTTCCTGCCTCAGCCTTCCAAGTAGCTGGGATTACAGGTGCCTGCCATCACGGCCAGCTAATTTTTTGTATTTTTAGTAGAGATGGGGGGAAGGGGGAGTTCACCATGTTGGTCTTGAACTCCTGATCTCAGGTGATCTGCCTGCCTCGGCCTCCCAAAGTGCTGGGATTACAGGCGTGAGCCACCACGCCTGGGCTTGTGTCTTAATTTTTAACAAAAATGTTGAAAAAGTAAAAAATAAATAATTTTAAAAATAGAAAAAATTTATAGAATAAGTATATAAAGAAATATTTTTGTACAACTATATAGTGTGTTTGTGTTTTAAGCTAAGTGTTATTAAAGAGTCAAAAAGTTAAAAAAATGAGTTTATAAATTTTAAAAGTTACAGTAAGCTAAGGTTAATTTTTTCTTGAAGAATAAAAATATTTGAAAATTAATTTAGCATTGCCTAAGTGTATAGTGTTGATAAAAGGCATAGTACCATGTAGTCATGTCCCAGGCCTTCACATTCAACTCACCACTTATTCACTGACTCACCCAGGGCAACTTCCAGTCCTGAAAGCTCCATTTATGGTAAGCGCCCTATAGAAATGTATCATTTTTTATCTTTGATTTTTTTTTTTTTAATAGAATGCTTCATGAATTTGTGTGTCATCCTTGTGCAGGGGCAAGGCTAATCTCTGTAGTGTTCAAATTGTTGTAGATGTGTTGTCAAAGCAAGTACTTGTATACTGTTGTTACTGTATATTTTCTATGTTTAGATATATTTGAATACGCAAATACCACTGTGTTGCAACTGCCTGCAGTATTTAGTACAGTAACATGCTGTACATCTTTGTAGCCTAGGAGCAGTAGGTTATATCCAGTGGCCCAGATGTGTAGCACGCTACGCCATCTGGGTTTGCGTAAGTACACCCTACGATGTTTGCACAACCACAAAGTCACCTAACCAGGCATTTCTCAGAAGTAGTCTTCATTAAGTGACTCCATGACTGTAATGAAACACTAAGTTTTGAGCCAGGAGTTTGTGTATAGAACTCTAGGAATGGCTTCATTAGGAACATGCATCTTTCTCATTAAACTCTGGGTCCCTTCGAGAGACAGATTGTGTCTCTGAGCTCAGTGGCCTAAATTTCTAGAATTACGTTTTCAAAAAGTTGCCCAGTTAGACGTCTCTGGGGACTCAAGACTACAACTCCCAGAATGCCATGCTCCCTGTGCGCGCTCAGGGGCGAGTAGAGAATGTCCCAGCATTAATTGCGCCAGATAGAGACCACAGTTCCCACTACGCCCAGGGACTCCGGGGAAAGCTTGTCAAACACCACCTGTTGCCATAGCATCCGGGTTGGGCGAACCAATCCGGACGTCCCTGCCGAACAGAGGCGGGCAGTTCGCATCTTCGACCAACCCGAGGCGTTTTTGTTGTGGCGTGTGACCGGAGGAGGCGGGAGCTCAGGACCGGCGCCTTCTCCTTGCTTCTGGGGTCGTGGCCTTCCTCCCGCTGTGCGGGAAAAGAATCTAGGCCCTTCCACGCGCTTGTGAGCGCGGGGGCCCCGGAGTGCTCGTGGTTCCGCGCTAGGTCTCCGTGGGGGGGCAGGAACCGGAGCTATGGGTGGGACCGCCAGCACCCGCCGAGTCACCTTCGAGGCGGACGAGAATGAGAACATCACGGTGGTGAAGGGCATCCGGGTGAGTGCCCGTGGACGGGCGGAGGGTCAGTGCTCGGACTCACACTCCCATCTTCCCCGGACCCCCTCAGCCTGGTTTCTCCCGTCTTGGCCCCCAGTGTTGCACGGCCAGAAGCCCAGGTGTCTGGGAAGAAGTCCAGAGTTTCAGGACGTGGGAGATTCATTCAGAGATAGTTCTTGGTTGTGTGCCAGGTGCTAGGCACTGCTGGGGGCGAGCGGGGGATGCCAGGTTGAATTAGACCCTGCAAGGGCTTACAGTCTACTCGTAACTGTATTGCTCACTAGCTGCAGGACTTTATTTGAAACGCATGCCTCAGTGTACCTGTCTGTGAAATGGGTCTCCTCCTGGGTTCAGGACCCAAATCCTGCTTTTCCACCGCCCACACCCTGTCTCCCAGGGTGAATTGGCATCTTAAGGAACGCCTTTATTTGCTTTGTGTTATTTAGTGCTCTCCCTCGGATATTATCCTCTCCTCCCACTCCCATATCCTGAGATCTCCCCCTCCCACCCCCATAATCTTTTCTGGCCTGCCTGGGGTGGCTTTTGGCTTCTCCCTGCTTCACTTTCACTTGATATCTCCTCTTTCCCAGGCGCCTCCTCTGTGACCTGCCGCGCCGAAGTTTTGGACTAGGCCCAGTTGCTTCAGGACTAGTGTCTGCCAGTCTGCTAGGGGCTGAGATAGGTTTGCAGTTTTTCAGATCAGTAGAAGTAATGTAGTCATTTCTGACCAACGTTGTCGAGAACTTTTTTTTAATGCCCTCTGCATGCACCGGATACATAAACTGAAAACTTGGTTTTTCTCTAGCGTGTCATTATACCAGCACTAACTTCATTAACACTCTCTCCGCTGCGCCTGAACTTGGAGCCTCACATTTTTGGACGTATGATGCCTGAACCTAGTAAATAAAGCCATTTTGACTTCAGAAAGTTTTATAATACTTCATATATTTCTTTTCTGTTATCAACCAGCATAAATAAATTACATTTTTAAATTATTTTTGACAGTTGTTACCAGGAAATAAAACTTCTTAAATATTTAAAATGTTTAAAAAACTTTTCTCTGAAACTGTTACCTTGAGAAGAATTTATTAAACTTTTCTTTATAGAAACTCAGACTGTTGAACTCAGTTTTTGGTCTGTGACCAGCATTTCTTTATATCGTACTCATTAATGGTAGTACTACATTTTGTAATAAACTATCTGAGGCTGTATTCTTTGAGTTATTGTGATTCAGTTACTACTCTGTGGCGTGAAAAGTCACTGTAAACTGTAGGTTTTATGCAGAGATTTTAAGACTCTTGCCATTAGGCCTTCGGTATGCCACTCAGGGTGAAAAATAATTAAAAGGCAAAGCAAAATAAGTTTTGGGTGAGAAGATATTGGTTAGAAAAAAATGTATAAATCCGGGGCTGGGTGCGGTGGCTCATGCCTGTAGTGCCAGCAGTTTGGGAGGCTGAGGCAGGTGGATCACGAGGTCAGGAGTTCGAGACCAGCCTGGCCAAGATGGCGAAACCCTGTCTCTACTAAAAATACAAAAAATTAGCTGGGCGTATTGGCGTGTGCCTGTAGTCCCAGCTACTCGGAAGGCTGAGGCAGAGAATTGCTTAAACTTGGGAGGCGGAGGTTGCAGTGAGCTGAGACTGCGCCATTGCACTCCAGCCTGGGTGACAGAGTGAGACTCTGTGTCAGGAAAAAAAAAAAAAAAAAAAAAAGATAAATCCATATTCTCATGCTTTAGTACAGACACAGTGCTAACAGCAAACAAAATTGAAAGAAAATGTGGCCACAGCACAGAGGCTTATACCAAGAATTTGATAAAGGTGGATGGAATAACTGTGACAGTAGGGATATGAATTCTATTAAAACGGAAAAATTGTCTAAAAAACCTTTTAAAAATTTTTGTTTTTTAAAAAGAAACTGTCCTTTGGCCATATAACTTGACAGCATTCTTCATTTTTTTTCTTTCTCATACAGTACATTTTATCTGTGTTGCTACAGTTCAAGCATGCTCATTCTGACCTCTGTGCTTTTCTTCAGAATATACCCTTCACCTGGAATGCCCTTGCCCTGGTCTCCGGGGCTGCAGATCCTCCTTTTACATGAATGTTTTGCAATCTCTCTGAGCTTCAGTTTTCTCATCCGCAAAATCATGGGGTTAAGTACATCTCTCAGATCTCTGATATTTTCCAGTCCTGAAATCCTGTGAGTCTGGTGGCACTCTTAAGCTGCTTGTAGCCATACTTAGCCCATTGCAGTTTCCTCTAGAAGTGACATCCTTAAGTATTGAGTACACAGAGGTCATTCTGATTTCTTTGAGCTCATGATCAAAAGAGTGCCAACTTGAAATTAAACAGACCTCAGTTTAAATCTCAGGTTAGATATTTATTTATTATTTAACCTGATTGCCTGTGGGATTTTTGTCTAGGTTTTCTGTAGATGTTTTCAGTTGATCTTTTTTCCTGGTGAATTAAGCAGACATCAGTTTAAATCACAGGTTAGGTATTTATTAGCTTGTGGCCTTAGATAATTGACTTCTCTTATTCTTTCCTTACCCATAAAGCGTAATACCACCATTTCCCTTGATTGGTTGTGTTAAGATGAGGTAAGGTATGTAAAGCACTTGGCACATTGTAGATTTTCATTAAAAAGGCAGCCATTATTATGACAGGGTTCCTTTCACATCTAGTTGTAGGATTCTTTGAAAGTGCTGTGCCATGTAGTGGAAAGAGCGTGTGCCTTGGAACCAAGGAGACCTGGGTTGGTTTCCAGCTCCGCCTCTCACTAGGCTTGTGGTTCTGGGCAAGTCACTTTTCATTATGTTTCCGTATTCAGTATTTCTGGATAAAGCAGCCTACTTTTAGAATTTGACGTAATGTATGTATCTAGCACAGTATCTAGTACTTTGACAGTGTTTGCACTTGTGAGTAGTAGCTGTTATTAGAGCTGTTCAAAAGAATGGATACATGAACTTATGTGAACTTAAAATGTTAATAAAAATAAGAGCCTGTTGTGCTCCCATAGGGGTACCTAAAAGGGTATGGACTGGGAAGTGAGAGTCTTGCGTTCTGCCCTAATTGAGGGTGTTTTTTTTGTCTAGGACCGTTGTAGATGGGTTTTAGTTCTTTATATTTTTCTTGGCTTGAAACAGTCATGTTTCCTTTTGAGACATGGGGAAGGATGAGAAACTGCATTCTCGGTATATACGTAAGCCATTGTTTTTAGCTCAGTTGGTGAGAACACGGTGCTGATGAGGCACCAAACTTCGATTTTGAACTGCAGTTGGGTTAGTTCAGCTTGGCTGAAGAAAACTTTCCAACTTTGCCCAGTTGTCTAGAATTTATGTCATTGGTTGTAAGGACTGAAAGTTTACCAAGCTTACCAATAATTCAACAGTCAGTCTCTGCTGGAAAGCGAATTCAGTGTTCTGTTACACTGTTAAAGGTAGTACAGATGGTCCGCTATTAGGATTTTTTGACTATAGTGGGAAAGTGACAAGCATTCAGTAACCTCAACTTGTGGCACTACCCTCAGCGAAATCGATTGTAAACCAAGGAGCGTCTGTAATTTCATCTTCATTTTTTAAAAATATAATGACTTGGGTTCATTCCCTTAATATAAATATGTTGGCAATTATGAGCTTTTTTTGAATTGGAGTCTCCTCCCTATGTTGCCCAAGCTGGTCTCTACTCCTGAGCTCAAGCTATCCTGCCTCACCCTCTGGGACTACAGGCGTGTGCCACTCTGCCAGGCCCAGTCATCATTTATCTTAATGTATAAAGAGTAACATTTAGTGAACAACATAAGGCTTTTGGTAACTATGTTGAATATTTATTTATTTACTTATTTGGGACGAGTCTTGTCTATTGCCCAGGCTGGGGGCAGTGACACAATCTCAGCTTGCTGCAACCTCCGCCTCCCGGGTTCAAGTGATTCTCCTGCTTCAGCCTCCTGAGTAGCTGGGATTACAGGCATGTGCCACCATGCCCTGTTAATTTATTTTGTATGTTTAGTAGGGGAGGGTTTCACCATGTTGGCCAGGCTGGTCTCGAACTCCTGACCTCAAGTGATCTGCCCATCTCGGCCTCCCAAAGTGCTGGGATTACAGGCGTGAGACAACGCGCCTGGCTGAATTTATTAATAGATTGTGTTTCTCTATTGTTGAGGTCCTTAATAGCAATGAAAGGACTTACCTCAAATTTTAAGTTTAAAGTTTCTTCTCACATACCAAGTGTTATTTTTCACGGTATTTATACGGTCTTGTTATTTCCCTTTGTCCTTAGCAATTGATAGCTTTTCTTCCCTCTTCTGTAAAAACAACCCATATTTTTACACTTGATCCCGACTTTGAATCTGAAACTACTTATATGAATTCGATGAAAGGTCACTCTTGTGCCTTGCTCTCTTCTCAAGGCTAAAATAAATTTCTAGAGATGGAAAGACCAAGCATTTTCATTACTCATATTACATGTGCTTGATAGGGTTTTTGTGAGTGCCTGCAGTGCCTGCTTGGAAAGTGTGCTTACAACTCAGTCTTTGGCAAGTTTATCTGAAACATCAAAGCTGTGCGTGAACTCAGGAGCAAATGTCAACTTCAATGAGTATCATTTTCAAAGATATATTTATCATGCTTTCCAGACATAAACGAATGTCTGCAGCTGGGCCTTAAAGTGGCAAGCTGAAATTCGCAGGAGCCAGTTATGGCAGTACGGATCCTTAATATGGAGCATAACTCATGCTTTGGGAAGTGTTGGCAGTTGAGACCCTAAACGAAGAGATTACTTAATATGGGATATTATTGAGGATTCTGAAGAGAGTATGTTATCGGAGACTACAAATTCTGTCAGCCATTGGGAGTGTTGAAGAATGTTGTACAAATAATTTCGTTAAGTAGAAGATGATTAGCTCCTTTCAGCTTTAGATTCTATGAAGCTCTTGGGCTGAGTACCATCTTAAGTTGTCTAGGATTGTATAAAGATAGAGATTATGGTTTCTGCTAATGA